TTCTCCGCACTCTCTTAGACGCGTCTAGGTTGGAATTTTCGATTTATTCGTCTTTGGAAGAATTGCTGCTGCCTAATCATTGTGTTTTTGGGGGATTGAGGAACCTGATGCTTGGAGAACTCCTAAACGTTCACATGGATTTATTCACATTATTGATAGGAAGAAAAAAAATTTCAACTGTTCCTGAAATAATAGTGGTAAAGATAAAACTGAATTCTGCCAGTTTCATGGTAATTTGGTGACCTGGCTGATGTCATGGAGTCTGTCTTTGCGTTACAATGTCTAGATAATAAAGCAATAGGTGCTGTATTTGAGGGCTATCGCTAGTTGTTGCCCTAATTATCCTAATTTTGTTGCTAAACATGAAGGGTTTGGCTTGCCTCCCTCATCCTGTTTCTAGCTTTTGGATTGAACTCTGGCCTGACTGCTATTCCTTTTGGCCCTTGTGATGATGGCCCGAATTTTTATTCCTTTAAGCCTTTCGACTCTTTTTTTGTAGGAGTTCATTTTGAAGAAGGGAACATCATCATGGTGTGAAAACTTTGAGAATGCATCATTGTTGCAGTTATTAAATAGAAGTTTTGGGATTTCATTTTACTCATCATTTGGCTTGACATTTCAAAGTAGTGCAACGCATTAGTTCTGTGTTTCTTTTGTTTGAAAAGAGCGTGTATATGGGTTTATATTATGTCTCTCTTATCTTTGTATACCCATCCAAATGTAGTTTATGTGTTTCCTTTCAATTTTGCATCTTGTATCTTACTACACTTTTTATCTTTTCAAACGGTGTTTGTGATCAAGGCATACATTTGAATTTCATAGTACCTTTTTTTTTTTTGGGAAGATCCAAGAATACTTTGCTGCTTAACTTTTTGTTCCAAATCAATGTTGAGGAATTTTTCACCTCCCCCTGATTTTTATGCAACTGTACCCTTGTTTCCCTTCCAGTAGTGTTTTGAGGAATCAAATGGGTTTCTTATTGCCTAAATGAATAAGTTTGAAGGCTTTTAGTTGTTACAAATGTGCTACGTGCTGTGCATGCATAGTCATTTTAGTTTTTAAAGATACCACCTTTTACATCTAAAGCGCTTCTAAGAAATATTTTCAGGAGTATTCTCAGCACACTTTATGGTTCATGTGAAATGTGAAGTGGAGTATTTTCAGCACATTTAATCGACCAAAATCATTGAACAAGTTCTGCATCAGGCTTATTGGATCATTTCTGGACTAACTACGAAATGCATCAGGATCAAGTCCTCTTTATTTTGTGCATCAATCATATTTCATATTTGTTTTCATCATAATGACTCCTACGTTCTGTATTTTTATTTTTGTTTTGTTAACTTTTTTTTATTTGATTACTATCTGCACTTAATGGCCGGTGATTTGGTTAAGTTGCTGTGTATGCTTTATTTATAAGCTTTCAGAAGAAAACGTCAGTAGAGTTTGTCTAAATGTTACATGCAGCGACAGGAAAAGCAAGATCAAACTTTTGTATCTTAACGACTTGCAAATGCAAATAATTTTCAAATGTTCTGTATTGGGTTAAAATGTAGCAGAAATTTACATCATCTTTACTTGCATATATCAACAGACTGGGTTCTCTTCTTCTCCTGTTACTCAGAAGAAATTCTGCACAATCTCATTCTAGATTTGTTCTGCTATATTCTACTGTATCCCCAAGAATAACTCCATACTATTGTTTGGCAGAAATTTCTGTGAGCGAGGGTCGTTTCGTAGCCAATAAGTATAAGGCTGTCAAAGGTTCATCTTGTTACTGCAATCACGTGGCTTCCACTGGTGCTATTCCACTGGATTTGAGGTGAGATTTGTGACTAAAATATCTTTTCTGATTGCTCTTTTGGTTATTGCATGCAACTCTTTTTTTTCTGTGCCATATGAATATGCAAAGAAGGTTGTTAACTTCCTCCTATTAGCAACTCTCACCCCTTCTTTTCAGTTGCTACCCAATATCCAGATTCATGTGCAGAAAACTGTGAAGTTTTATATGTAGGAATTCATGAATTTTTTAAATGAGTCATGTGCAAAAATTAAATTTCAAACAATTTTTCTCCCTGTTGCTTGCATGGATTGTATATGAACATAAGTGTTACAAAGGTTTGGAGCCATTCCGATGTAACCAAGGAAGGTCAGTATGCATGGATGTTATTTGAATGAACATAACTGATGTCATGGAATTTTTCATAGTTGATGGTTTGCACATTGCGCATTGCTGCGTTGATCAGGGGCTGTATACTGCTTTTTTCTTGCTGTTTTTATTTCTATCTTGCTGTCTAACCAAATATGACTCTTCACTTCTTAATATGCTTGAGCATTTCCTTAACGAAGTTTTTATGAAATAAGTTGTTTTTTTTATCCCTAAATATGGGTTTAGTTATTTGTTCCCTTTATGCTGTTGGACCTGTAGATCTGAAAGGTTGTTTGGATATTGTTTGTTTTCTCAATACCTGGTTGTACATGTGTTTCTTACCTTATTTCAAGAGGGAAGCCATTTCATTAGTTAGAATTTTTCCGAATTCCTTTGAAAAATAAATAGGATTGACAACTGCCGTGAATGAAAAGACACCACCATAGGGCTTGTGGGGAGAGCAGAGTTCTTGCATTCTTACATCATAGGCTATTAAAAGTTAGATTTAATAGCTTTCACTTGCCATAACATAACACAGTTCTGTCTACCGAAAAATATTACACATGGTCCACTTTAATGAGAATAATAATTGTGTTTGTAAATTTTACATCTGATGGGTTTACCATCATTCACTATCCCTCTTTTTCCTTTTTGTAGGGGAACACTCTGTGATTCCTTATAATTCCATTAACATTTTTGAAAATCTTAAATATTCTGTTTGTGACCTGATCTGTTTTGTGATTATACCTCACACCAAGTAAAGATGCTTCACAACAGTTCCTCTCTCACACTTCCTTTTCTCCTCATACTAATTTCACATTTCATCAACCAGTTTCCGATCTAAATTCTTTTTCCTCATTTTAAGTTATCGGTAATTGACGATAATATGCTCTCTAAACACTTTGGTGAATCTCTCTATATCAATCTCCTTGTTTTGTTTTCTTTATGAAGTGAGGCAATTTTTTTGAGGTGTGCATTTTGGTTGTTTATTCTGAAGCTAGAACGGAATTTTCTTTTCGTTTTGAGCAATTAAACAATGATTGATAGCAAATGGTTGAAAAAATTTTGCTTCTCAACGTCGGCTGCTCAATAGATTTGGGGATAATGCAAGGAAGTCAGTTATTTGTTTAATGGTCATTGGGTTTTAAGCTAGTTATTTGTTTAAACTTTTTGATTGTTTGGATCTTCATGGTTGTGGTACTTGTACCCTGTAGAAGGGGTAATTCTCTATATCAATCTCCTTGTTTTGTTTTCTTTATGAAGTGAGGCAATTTTTTTGAGGTGTGCATTTTGGTTGTTTATTCTGAAGCTAGAACGGAATTTTCTTTTCGTTTTGAGCAATTAAACAATGATTGATAGCAAATGGTTGAAAAAATTTTGCTTCTCAACGTCGGCTGCTCAATAGATTTGGGGATAATGCAAGGAAGTCAGTTATTTGTTTAATGGTCATTGGGTTTTAAGCTAGTTATTTGTTTAAACTTTTTGATTGTTTGGATCTTCATGGTTGTGGTACTTGTACCCTGTAGAAGGGGTAATTTTGGATTGTAGTGACAAATGTTTGTCTTACCAGCCTTGTGTTTACTTGTGGGCCTTGGTGGCTTGCTTTCTCTTGTTTGAGCAATTACAGGAATAGTAAAGACATTTCTGATTTTGGTTTTGCTAATGTTGCAGGTAGGTCAAACGACCAACTGAAAATTAAAGAGATAGTAACATGGAATTAGCAGACAGGGCAGTTGGGCTGCTGTTGTCTATCATCAGCTTGACCGTTTTCACATACTATACATTTTGGGTCATCATCCTGGTTAGTTGTTTTAGTTGTACATCGACAAGCTTTCTAGGCTTGAGTTAATGTGTTTCCTATGTTCTGATACAAATGTTTTTGTGTGGTTTCAGCCATTTGTTGATGCTGACCATTTCGTGCATAAGTACTTTCTACCTCAAGAATATGCCATTTTGATACCCGTCTTTGCTCTTGTGGCGCTTTTTTGCTTCCTTAGCATGTTTATTGGATATGTGATGCTGAAATCCAAAAAGAAGAAGGCATAAAGAGCACTTTACAGCAGTTGCATATTCTTTTTTTTTTCCCCCTTTTTTTTTTGTGATATATGTTTCTAGTGTTCAAAGACGATTTCTTCTTGGCTTGTAATTGAAGGTAGCTTAAAGCTGAGTCTTGGTAATTTAGTTTCATAGCTATTTAAACTTCAAATGTGACTGTTGGTGACCAAAAGGCCTAGAAAGTGAAATCCCTGATTTACTGCTTTAACTGCTTTGGAGTTGTATCATTCCATACGATGAATTAGAAATAAGCTCGGTTGGAGCATGGCATGTCCCGTAATTCCTTCATTTTTGCTCATACTTAGTTGGAGCCTTGGAGTCACCAAAAATGATCTCAATCACTTCTGAGTTTTACCGGCATGTTCTTTGTGGATTGGAGAATTTTTGTATTATGGGAAAAGTTCGACATTTTTTCGGTACTCCAAATGGTGGTTTCTGCTCTGATCATACTGTGTTAGGTTTCGGCTTTCCAAATATAGCATAAACCGTTCAGTTATTTGTGTTGCCACGTTGAGCTTTACCAACTTGAACCAGTATTCTCCAAGTGTTTTAGTAGGTTGAATGAATGCGCTGGTTTAATTCATATAGCTTTTCTGCTGCTTAATGAAGTCATTTGGTTTCATCATCAATTACCAGAGTATTGATTAGTAATCGTTTTAGGTAATCTGCGAAGAGGCGTCTCTTGTGACTTAGCTTTACCTCATGCTGAGACATATCTTGTAGCTTTAGCTCATGCTGAGATATATCTTGCTGCTCATTTGAAGCTTTAGTTATGACGGTAGTTAGATTTAGAGGTGGCTGATATAAATCATCTCTGGTCAAAATCTTTAGCTACATCCCTCATCATACAAACAATGGCAAATTTGTCACAACTTTGATACAGTTGCAAGAGATCAATCGTTCTGATAACCAATCCTGGTCCTTTTCTTGCGAGGCTGAATTATCAACACATTCTTTCGGAAACCCTAACCCAGAGGAGTTCAGTTGGACATTTTACTTTCATCAAAATTTGTGTGTCTTTGATTGGAATATGTAGAACTGAACGAACACCTTTTACAAGTGAAGGGAGCCTCACTATTCACTAATTTATCAAAAACTACAGACGGCGAGAACAAGGATAACTTGTCCGCATCCATGGCAATTCCATTCATTCCTTTAAGCCATGTAATTGAAGGCCAACCTGCAGTGCCACATTTTGGTTAAAAAAAAAAAAAATTATGCTTGGATCTTGTAATCCAACTCTATAATCTACAAAAGTTGTTGCAACCTTAATAATTAGAACAAAGAATAATGATCAGACTAATAATTTGATGAGCCTCTGTTCTATATGCAAACGAATAAATTACTAGGTCATTTTGGTTAGTTGGTACAACTACTATTCTGCAGGCCAGTTCAATGGAGCTGCTAACTGAAAGATTCCTCTTGCTACTTCAATCAACATAATTGAATTAACAACCAAAGAGAGTAGATTCACAACTACGTTATACCTGGTGATGCCAATTTAGGTACTGAATGAATACATCAAACTATTTGATAACTCAAAGAACTGTGAATCTGATCGATCTTACTCGGTTTAGCCCATCAATGTAAATAAACAATTTATGCATGATAAAGACTTTGACACAAACTACCCTCCATAGACTGGTGAACACAGTCAAGGCAGTTACTGATGTAAGATTTGATTATTTTCTCAGCTGGTTGAACAGAAAACATCAAGAACACAAGTCCTGTTTGATTCTTCTGATGGTGGTTTTAATCTTTTGGTATAGTTTTCAATATACATTTTTCCAAAGCAAGGATCGAAACAAAAACCAAAACCAAAGCACTGTAATTTCAGCATATTTGTCTTTCCAAAAACTCAAATTTCTTGAGCAATCAAGCCAAAATAGGAAAGGCCAAACAGAGGAAAAGACAAATGGAATGAAAATCCTCACTAACATGTGAGAGCCTAACAAAAGAATCAAAGATAATACATCAAACTAAGAAGCTTTCTGATGGGAATGCCATTTAGATCAAAGAGTACCTGATGAAAATCCCACACTTTTCCTTAACCCCAAGAATTATCAAATGCGGCTGAAGTAATCGCCTGAGAAAATTCCTCAAAACTAATTCTCCCATCACCGTCAGTATCTGCTTCTTTAATCATTCCAGTGAGCTCATCAGCAGTCAAGGCATGCCCAAGTTTAGCCATAGAATGAGCCAACTCTGCAGCAGTGATGAACCCATTCCCATCTCTATCAAACATTCTGAACAGCTGCTTCAGCTGATCATCAGTATAAGGAGATTTCGCCGGTAAAAGCTCCGGCGCCACCAGAGCTACAAACTCCGAGAATTCGACTAATCCGTTGCTGTTCTTATCTGCCTTTTGAATCAGAGTCTCAAGCTGATCAGGGCTTGGTTGTAGGCCTAATGATCTCAAAAGTGATCCCAGCTCTAATTGCGTTAGGCTTCCATCATTGTTTCTGTCGAATGATCGGAAGATCTCTCTTAGCTCAGCCAATTGCTCATCATCCAACGTCGGTGGCTCTTTACCGCTCATTCTTTAAAGCAAATAAAGTTGAAATTGCAAAATACCCTTTTGAGTTTTCTTTACAGCTGATCTTTCTTCTCCCCTGTTTCTTCCTAGCGCCCTTGCAGCTTTGCCATCAAGCTATGAAGATGAAATCCAACTGGGTCGGTTATATCTTCAACCCAAGTTCCAGATACTGATTCTTCTTCTTCTTCTTCTTCTTCTTCTCCTTCTTCAGAGATCAATAAGATTAAGAATTTGAAACCAGCCCCCTTTCCCTTTCTCTGGTTATGTGGCGCACAAGTCAATATCTTTGTGCAGCTGATCCAAGAATTGATCCAAAAAGGTGGAATCTTGAAAATGGTTTTTTTTTTTTTTTAATTTTTTTTTTTATAAGGCTGAGATTTGTGATCCACCACTTTCGAGGGATCCTTAGAATTCTAACTAAACCTTTGACGAACTAATCGGATCCCAATTGAACAGTGGCATTGAACAAACATATAAAAAGAAAAACACACACTCACACAACCGGCGAACTACATACAACTACTACTCTTCCCGAAGGTAAACGTACTAACAACTAACTGGCATTATTATTCTTATATAAACTATTTTGTCGGGGATTAGGAGAATAATTTGATTTAAATAATCCACCATTAATCATCATCATCATCATATTAGATACATATTGGGTTTCCATTTTTTTTTTGTTTGACAATTTTTATTTATTTATTTTTGTTTTTGGAAGAAGGCAAATTGGGCGGCACAAATGGCGCGAATTCCGTGAAGATGCGCACGTCTTTATTCTAATGATCATGACCTTTTCCCCATGACCTTTTCAACCGTTTTTTCCTTCTTTTAAATGGTCTTTGGAATTTATTGTGTAGTACCTTCCATAAGTTAGCCAGCGGAGTCTTTCTTTGCAATTAGGGTCCAATGCAGAAGCCAAATTAAATCAAGTCATGAAATGGGGAGTCAACTCTTTCTTAAATTTGATTAATTAACACATCCTGGCAGTTCGTTGTTGACTTCATTTCTGTAGTTTTTTTTTTCTTTTTTTTTTTGGGTTATGTTTATTAGAAATTTGTTGGGAGTTTTGACAGATTTAAAAGATATACATTAAGTTTTAGGTTGGAATCAATGGGTCCAGTACCTGCATTGCCGCTGATAGAAAATCAATTTCAAGTTCTTGAGGGTAGCTAAGAGGATTGAATCGTAAACTTTTTGTATCCACCTAATAAATACTCTCTTCGCTATTTAATATACGACATTTTGATTTGTTCTAGGTTTCATCTAGTATGCATTTTTAATTAACAAAAAAATTTTAAAAATATATTTTCACATTCATTGTATTCTCTTGATCGTTATGAGATATTTTTAAGATTTTTTCATCATTTAAAAATATGTACTAGGTTAAACCCTAGAACAAATCAAAATACCTTATATTAAAACCCAGAAGGAATAACTATTTAAGAACAAATCAACAATGACGTTATGTACGAAAGAAAATAAGTGGAGACCTTATCACATTCGAACGGGTTGTGATCAACAACGGCCATTTATATTAACAACACCATACAATTAAAATAGAGAGGATACAAGATAAATACATGTATGCTATACTTAATTTTTTAATGTTAAAATCATGATGAAATTAGTCCCGAATATTCACATGATAGTAATTTTTCCTTTTCACGATATTTTAAAATTTATAAGATATTTTTTTTTAGAAAAATTTAGATTAAGGGTAGTAGAAAGGTTTTATAATTAATAAAAGGAGCATAATTTTTACATAATATGGATTAAAGACAATAAATTATTTCTCCAAAATCATAAAATTAAACTACTTATGCTCCGACATAATGCCCTTCATTCTTTTAAGTCAATCTCATACTTAGCATGGAAAAAAAAAAATCCGAAGAAAACCCTTCTTCCCCCGCTGCTCATCATCACTCAAATTTCAACCCTATAGTCCTCCATCCACTTTGTTTGCGAGGTACTAATAGCAGTTTGATTCATAAATTTTCGATGTTAATTGTATCACAATTAGTGGATTGACAATGGTAGCTAACTTGGAACTGGTTGTTATCGTTTTATTTTGTTGTTATGCTAGTGACGTATACCATGTAAGAAGAGCACTTTTTATAGGAATCACAAAAAGATTTTGCCAATGGAAAATCATGCAGGGGATAAATATAGCAGCTACTTTTTTAGCATTCTTTTTTTCAGTAGAGCATTGCAAGGGTCATAATGGAAATCTCATGACATCAACATTTTTAAAACAATTTTCTTCCCAACTTCATCACTACAGAAGTTAGGGGTTGGGGATGATTTCCGTTGTTTCCCTGTAGGATGTAGTATTGCAGGAAAAAAGAGACATGAATCAATTCAAAACAATGGTTTTCCAAAGATTAAGATGAGGGGCATTTATGTCAAAGCATAAGTAGTTTAATTTATGATTTTAAGAAAGTAATTTATTGCCCATAATCCATATTATGTAAAACTTGTACCCCTTTTATTGATTAAAATCTATCTACTGTCCTTAATCCAAATTTTTCTTATTTTGTTTGAAAAATTCGACGACCGCTCCCCTGGTTCCGTCCCTGGTTAAAATGGACTGTGTAATGGCTTTGGACAGTAGCAGAACTAGGAATTGCAAGGAGTATGGACAAAATTTAAAGAAAAATGTTTTGCAAGGGCAAAACTAAAATTTTTCAAAAAATAGTATAAAATTTTAAAAAATTTCTATACTTCCTCTGTAAATGGCCAAATGCATAAAGGGGTGGGGGTATGCCCATGCCACGGCTTAAAAACCATTATTGTAATTCATGCAATGTCCTAAACTATCACCTTCAAAACTATTATACATATATAATTTATCTTATGAATGTCATGGCATAAGCGTACAATATATCTACATTACTTTTATTCTATGGTTTCAGTATTATAATATACGCCATAGCTTTTATGTGTTACACGTATTTGATTTTTATCTATAACCTTATTTTTCTGCAATTAATCATTAAATATACAAATTCCATATCAAACTATACTTGCACTGTGCGTGTGAATGTGATTAGGTCATATGATTATGTCCAATCAATATATATATATATATATATATATATATATATGTAAAGAATCAGGATGGTACCTAACGGACATCCCTCGATTTTACTAATATAAAAGAAAAAATTACAAAGGACAGTGTTTAGAACTTACCCAAAGTAAAAGATACTGTCTTATGGAAAGTTTTTCTAAAAAACACCGTGACAGTTCTCTAACAAAATAGATTTATGAATTGACTAACAAAGATAGTTCTATAACTATCCCCTGACCGTTCAATGCTACTCTAGAAGATTGAAAACTGAAAAACTAAGAGAATATCTTACAAAGATTTACCACATAAATCTCATGACATTTCTAAATTTTATTTTTGACTATCCTACAAGACTATCTAATTCTTATATATAGATATTTATTCCTATTTAGATAAAACTTACCTCTCAATGATATTGGAAGAGTCTCGTGGGAATGATATTGCAATGTGTTTCCCATTGAAGCATATCTTGCAAGTTCATCCGGAACACTATCTACTTTTCTGTAGATATGGAGTATTTTTGAGTTTGTAACGCACATTTTTTCTTGAACCCCTTTTAGAAGTATGTATTTTTTTCCAGGGTAGACCTTTGCCTCGTTGCAATAAGGAAACAATAGTGTTGTTATCTGTTAGGATGATCACTTGATGTATTCTTTTTTCTTCACAAGTTTGGAGTCCATAGTAAATTCCAGCAAGCTCCGTATCAAAACTTGTAGCGATGCCCATATTTCCGCATTCAGCAAAAATAAAAGTTCGTCCTACTCCTCGGATGACATATCCCCATCCAGCATTTCTAGGTTGACCAAAAGCCGATCCGTACTAAATTTTCCTGGATCCGGATGTTGCCAGCATAGTATCTTTGTTGTTTTTGCTTTTGACCTTTGCACCTTGACTCTGAATAAGCCTTCTATCTCATTTTATTCCTCTATGATTCTTGCCTACAAATCATGAACACTTAGCATATTTGAGATATCAGTAAGTACTTCTTTTTGCAAAAAAACTCAAAGAAAAGTTAACATCCTCATTGATGAGCTTATTCCTCAGCTTCCAAATTACCCACAATAGGAAAATATGTGTGACCATTAGTATTGAGTTTTTAGCCGAGGTAAAACTCCCCATCTTTTGCCAAGTTTGCAAGCTACTCGACCATATATCCTGCATTTTCGGCATCAAAATTCCAAAGAGAGAAGCAAAATATTTCCATTCTAAAATGATTTTTTGACCTGCATAAAAAATATGATCTATAGTATCTTCAGTTGCATGACAAAAAGAGCATCTTGAAGGACTCATGACAAATCCAATTTTTTGCAAAGATTCCGGAAAAAGGGAGTAAACAATTAAAGAGTTTCCATGCAAAGAAACAAATTTTTAGAGGGATGTAGAAATTCTTCTCTATGTTGGCGTGCTTCCTCATAAGCCAAAGCAATGGAGAAATTTCTAGTTGATGTTCGCTTCCACACTATTTTGTCCGGCTCGTCCACAAAATTGAACTCCAAATTTCTTAGCTAATCCACATTTTGCTCACCAAGTAGACCTGCAAAAACTATTAAGAAAAATCTTTTGAGAGGAAAATATCTTTAACTGTTAAATCAAGTGCTGGAGGAACATCATAAGAGATCCACATTATGCCTGTTTCTAGCCATCTGTCATGCCAAAAAGAAGATGAACCATCACAAATGATTAGTGTACTATTTGCTGACACCAAATGATGAACTTTATTAATTCGGGATCAAGTTGTTTTTCCTTTCAAAGTAGCTGAGAGAGAGCCAATAAACTTAGCCCAGAGTCATTGCTTGGTCTTTAGTCTCCACCATAACTTCATGGAGAAGGCTTGAGTAACATCCAGAAGATTTTGAATCCGTAATCCATTTTCCGTTACGGGAAAGGTTGATTTTCGCCAAACTCTCCAATGGCAATTGTTTCCAACTTCATTCCCCCCCCCCCCCCCCCCCCCCCCTCCCCAAAGAAAGTTTTGACATTAACGTTCTATACTCTCAAAGATGGACTTCGGAGGAACAATGACAGCTAGAGCATAGAGTGTAATCGCGGATAGAACATGTTTGATAAGCAATAACCTTCCACCTTGCCACAAGAATTTATTCTTTCAGCTTGATAATTTAGCATCAAACGCATCACGAATATGCTTGAAATACTTTCAAAGATGATTTTGTCCAATGTCATTATGTATTTCATGACAGAGTTTTTGTCCTAGATATAATCATACACTTGTCAAATTTTCAGCACTCATTCAATACAGAAACAAATAAATTGTCAATGCATAAAACCTAATCATTAAGAAACCCAACTCTAAAAATGTTCTTCCTCCATCTTCTCATCATGGAGAACGAAGTAAATAATCTTATTTAATAGTTTTTAGATTTTTCTCTATGGTTTAATAAATGAGATCATTTCCACAAATTTCTTTGGAGTCTTAATACTTTAATAAATTATTTATCTATTAAGAGGATAGGGTTTTTTTTTTTTTTTTTGTTCTTTCAATGAATTGCTTTGAAAGGTAGGTTCGTTAATTGCAATATTTGTGACGGTGTTGGAAATATTCTTGGCGTTACATATACTCCACAAAAAATCAATCACCATAGATTTAATTTTTAGATATGTGGTTTGGAGTTTTCAACATATTTTTAGAGATATATTCGAGATCAAATTCATACTCTGCTACGTGATATGTTCGTCAATTATATAAGTAGATA